TTCCTGCGGGGGCCCTGGTAGATTTTGACCAATTTCCATCCCCATTACGAAAATGACAGCTCTCACTCTTGGGCCCTGACAGAGGTCTGCCCAATGCACAGGAGGTCCTACGAGGAGGGAGCCGGCGCCCGTTCCCAGCTGTCCACAAACACTCATTAACAGAGGAAAATATCCAACGGAATCTCTGTGAGAATTTTTAATCACACAAAGGCCCTGCTAATTAGGCAGCTGATGGGGCATGGAGAGCACAAGGACGAATTCTTTAAACAAAGGACTAGAAACTTTAGGAGCCTTAATTACTCGGGCAAAGAGTTCATTCCAGAATGGCAGAGCACATCATTCCACTAATGAGACCAAGTGGCAGCACATATTAGTGAGAAATAATGTGGAAAGTTCAATTATATTGTGCTTTTGGAGCCTTCTCCCTTTTTCCCCTCCTTGCTACTTATGCACACACATAAGACAAAGCCCGGGCCAGAGCAGGAAGGAGGCAGGGGCGGAGGACACGCAATCACTGGCACCAGCACGCCGTTCCTCACGTGTATCTTGGCAGGCTTGATCATCTTAATTGCCCATTAGAATGTTCTCCTGTTTGAAAATGAATATCATTATAACACTCAGTGATGGCCTCTGCTGAAGAAAGACTTCAGACTGCAGCTTCACCACATGCGTCTTGAATTCCAAACACTCAACCGACGACCGGTTCGCAGCAGCCAAATCCTCACAAATGCCACGAATTCAAGCTGAATGAAGGGAGTTTATTGCCACAAACATGTGAAATTAACTCGGTTTTGTAAAAGGGTGATGTAAACAGGATGAACACAGACAGCTCTGTGTCTGCGTTCCTGTTGTTGCCAGTTCAGTTGTGAATTCAGATCACTTCGTTCCTGAACCACGTGGTGTGAATGAATTCTATCCTGGTACTTCTGACTGCCTTTTATAAAACGTCTGGTTCTGCTGCTATTTGAACAGCAGTGACTTTTTATGAAACATGCACACAGCTTATGCTGCAACCAGGACAAAAAAAGAAAGAAAAATCAAAAAGTCTACATTTTATGTCCTTGCAACTTGCATGGTGAGTGTGCCCACATGTATTCAGCTAATGACATCAACCACAATCTCTAACTTTTGTGTCATGCATTTTACAGAATAGGTAAATAATTGTGAATGGCAATTAAATAGCGTGCTTCTAAAAGGGTAATATATGCGTACTTTCACCTGTGTTAAAGATTGTATTAAAAGTCCTAATGCCCACATCAGGAGGTGCCTACATACCAATTACAGCAAGCAGGAAGCAAATTTCCCGTGAAATAAAACAGCTAATGGGAAATGGGGAGCGTCAGGCAGCATTTCTTACTGCCCAAAAAGCTGGAACAAAAAAAAAAGAGAAGCAAGAGCCAAATGTCCACCACTGGCCTGGTTTAATCACACTGGAGCCAAATGCATCTTTTGGGGAAAATGGAAATGGGGCAGCTAAATATGTTTCCCCCAAAAGATGATTCTGGATTCAACAAAGGCCTTAACTTAACTTGATTAATCTAATTACTTCTCTCGCCTTTTAAATGATCCAGATTGAAAATTGTCGGTGTATAATTGATCAAAGAATCATGGATAAAAAACAACATAATTACATTTCAGTAATATTTAGGACAGATTTCCACTGGACTGTAGAGATGAGAATTTCTCTTTTTAACGTGTGGTACAACAGTTACCAAATATCGACAACGATCAGTATAACTGTGCAGCAATTATACCATCAAGTAAAGCCCTATGTGTTTGTGACAGGATTGTGATTGGATGGATATAGTTCCAAGGTCTACCTTTGCTATTTCTGTTTGGAATAAGACCCCAAAATGATCATAAAAATAATACGTGCTGTTTAATGGCTCAGTTTTGCCTGGTAGGGATGGCTTGTAAAACTGACCAAATATTGACAGATGAAGGATGAATCCAAAGGCTTTTGGGTAGATGTATGACATATTTCTTGCACCTGTGTTTATTGAGCCTTTTACTACCAGTTAGTCAAGGGACTAAGATGAAAACAAAAGTTCAACATCACAGGTTCCAAACGGTTGCTTTAAACAGATTACATTTTTTTTGGAAATAACAAAAATGATCTTAATTCTAACAGAAGTTACTCAACAACGTTTGTTTAAAGCTACAGAACACAGGCCATGCTCCTCAGAAATGGACTCAGAAGTGTGAAATCTCTCAAGAGCCAACTTAAAACACAGACTAACACGAGCCCCTCTGACAATTTGCACCTACTTACATGTGTGATGTGAGCCCCAAACCAATTTTGTGCTCTAATTCGGGCAATTCTTTGGATTAAGTGCATGTGAGCTGCAGTCATGCTGAATTCCCGTTATAAAAGTAATTTGGCAAATCAAGAGGATGTTGACTGCAGCCCCCCCCCCTGCACCGGCCATCCTCCCCCACCGCACACAGCCAAACCCACAGAGAATAGTTCGACCAGAGAAAACCCACCACTAAGGGAACTTATTGATCCCCCCCCCCCATGTTCACTCTGCTAGAGTTGTTTGTTTCTTTTTGCCCATTGCCCCTGTTTTATTTACAGGCGGAGATCAATGGAGACACTTCCTCGCCAGCCTGTTTCCACTTTTATGAAAACACATCATTTGGCCTCTAAAGCGCCGTGCCAGATCGACATTATTTCTTCGGTTGTGTAAATAATTTGAGTTCAAATGACTGACAAGTGAATATATTTAAAAAAAAAGGTGGCTATGAGAGTGAGATGAAAAGCTGCTGCACTTTCACTGCATATTTGTTGACGTACCATCATTCATCATTCTCAATTAACTTAAAAATATTCTCGAAAATTTTGTACATAACTTGTAAAAATGAACATCTTGGAATGTGTGCAGGCGGCTGTTTTAGCACATTTCTAATGGGCAACTCTGGGCTCTGGTGATGACATGAACTTTGCAACCTGCTTGCATAAAGGTAACTCATTATCTTTTAAAACAATGCAAATGCAGGAATTAACGACAGAGGACACAGATGGCACCGATCAGAAGCACTTCAAAGTTTTGGTCCCAAATTATAATCCCACCGTCATGAGTGTGTTACCCACCGCAAATATGACAGTGGATAGCAAAATTCAGACAACAAAGTCTACCTCATTATTCATCAGCAGATGATGAGGAAAAAAACACTGCAGGACGTCACAGCTGTCACCAAGATTTTTTTTTAAAGATTTTCAGCTATTCAGTCTAATGAAGTTGAGTTGGCTATAAAAGACTGTTACTAATTATTAATGACAAAATGCAAAATGATTAGTGTGTTTTAATTTAAATTGAGGGCCCTGTGAGATTAACCACAGGTAACCAGCAAAGCTCATGATGAAATATTGAAATTTCATACAAATCAGGCAGTCAAATAGGACAGCTGGTCATGTCTTCATGAAATAAAGCTAAATACTGAAATATGGTTGTTAGAATACTTTAATTTCATTCAAAAGCCATAGCATAGATTTTACAGCTCCCATCTCAGGTATCAGACCTGGGTAAATGTCGTATTATAGCCACAAAAAAGAGTTGTGGCAGAAGTCTACCAGCATCTCAACTGTGTGGAAACATTTTAAAGTTTAAAACGGGAGCACTTCTGCAGACACCTGTAATGACTGAATTTCAAGCATTTCCAGGAGGCAGTGACAGAGTTCCATACACTAGACTGGTGACATTATTTTCAGACTGCTTAGCCGATGGAATGAATATTTTTGGATGTTTAGTTTGGGGAGAAATGGTTGAATTTAACTCTCTGGACACTCAACATACCAGTATAGTGAAGAACACATTTGAACTTCTTTGGTTTCTTTGGAGCCATTGTTAGCCCACATCAGACACAATTATACGCCATAACAAAAAACAAAGTTAAAATAATAAAGTTGTCTCCCTCCTTTCAAGAAATTAGCTGAAATCGTGTAGTTTGCAAAACTGTGTGCTGACGGACCATCTCAGTGTGAGGCTTGGTATTGAGGACTACTCAATCTTAAACAAGTCAAATTGGTATCGGGGACAGAAAATCTTGATTTATAAGTCCCAAAGGATTGGTTTATGTATCGATATTGATCAAATCCTAATAACACCCATCCACCATTACCATGGGGATAATCCATCCACTTGCTTTTCTATTACATTTAGCCTTCTTTTCTGCGTACACTTTGCTGCATGCAAATCGGTGTACATTCAACATAGAACAGCTTCCATGTCTCATTTTCAGTGGATCATTAAACCGACTGTTTGCTACCATTTTCATTTTACGAGCAGTTGACCTAATTTTTTTTTTTGTGTGTTTTTTAACAGCAAACATAACCTGTACAGCACAGTAGTTGATGGTTTGAATGGTAATATGCAGTGTTTAGGGCTAGAAATGTAGCTTTCCATGTGAATACAACAAATGAAATTCAGCAAAATAACAATAAATTATTAAAAGTTTCCAGTGCCGATTCCTCCAATGCTCCACATGAAAAATACAGGCTCTTGGACCACGCCTTTCTGAGACTTGGGTGGCTAAGGAGAATAGTTCAGCTGCGTTGCTGGTGGTGCTGTAGGGTTTAGCATCATCACGTTATAGTGCTAAGAGCTCCAGGTACAAATCCTGCCTGGGGCTCTTTGCGGACCATCCAAAAACAGTTTTAATTATAACTATACTATTTTCAGTATACACTGTTTATGCAACTGACTATATGCATACTGTATAAACATATATAATTCACTTTAACTAAACATTTACAAGTTCAGCTCTGCACTATGTTTAGTTTCTCCAGTTCTAGGAACCATCCCATTTGTATTTCATAGACTCCTCTCCCGCCTCCTGTTGACTGGCACGCTGCTCCTGGCCCCGATGCACAATGCTCACAAACTCATTTTGGTGCAGAGGGGTGCTGCACATTGAATTAAAAGAGTTCTGATTGATAAGGTAGTTGAAGGCAAATCTGCTCCCACTAATTGTCTTTCAAATGCCCTCATTAATCAAAGCGGCGCCGGGCCGGTGACGGGCGCTCCTGTCAGCCGCTCCGCTACATACTCTCCTCCGGCCGCTCACCTCGCAGCGTGATGCCTGCTTCCCCTCTGTCAGGCGCCACTGTCCAGAGGACTGCGGGAGCACAGGCCATCCGTCCGTCCGCCGCGCACCTGCCTTCTGCCAGACAGGATCTGACCGCCCCCCTGCCACCAGGACAGCCCCAGAGACCAATTTAGCAGCCATTTAATGATTCATGACTTCAAGTGGTGGAAATGAGGGCAGCATATGATAACAGGAATAAACACATTTAATTAGCTCCTCGTATACATTATTTATTTATTTACCTGCACTCTGATTAATTTATATATTTTTGTGTCACGGGGATTTTTTGGTATTCACGGCATCTGGCAGTAAGCCTTTGTTGTATGGCTGCTCCCACATGTATTTGCGTCTGGGTGTGTTTGTGTGTGTGTGTGTCTGTAGGGGGTTGGGGTTTGCACCATACCTCTCCTTATCTGTTCCTCCTCCTAATCGGGGGACGGTTTGCGAGACTACAGCTGGGTGGGGTACTGGTAGAGATTTGGAAAGCCCCCCCCCACCACCTTTTTTCGAGTGAAATGAAAAGAAATGGCGGGGAATATTAAACTTTAAAATATACAGTTCCCCCTTGCTCTGAGTAGCCTTGTTTGTGAATTTCCTGACAGGTAGTTACTCCCCCAGTTTTCTTTGAGCATGGGACATACATTTTCATGGAGGCACTAATCAAACAGCACAGCCACGGAAGGCCCAATCAAAGCTGTGTACCTGGCACTCTTCCACGAGGCTCTGGGAACGCTGATGACAACTCTTACCCGAGCATCTGCCATCGCATCCATCACAGGTTGACTTCCTTCACTCTCGCTCTCTCTCACAGACACTTGACTTCTCTGTGAGATCTCACTCAGCAGTCTCAACATGTTTGCGAACCTGTTTCCAGGATAAGTTATATCTCGCGGCTCAAAGCTCTAAATAAGTCTGTCAAAGGAGATGATATATACATTATTAGATTTAAGTGCAGATTTATGTGCGGAATGATTTGGAACTGTCATTTTACCGGAATCTCTCTGATTTGTGCCAACTGTCTTCCGCCTACACTGATCAGAGAGGGCAAAAGGGAGGAGGAGGCGCACACGACCAGAGAGAGAGAAAAGGCTTTAGACACTGTCCCTGACATTGCATTCTCTTAATTAGTTGTCGGAGAAATAAACTATAATTGCTTGCATGGCAGCAAATTAAAATGGCTGTTGTAAAACACACACAGAAACACAATGTGGGAGTGACCTCTACAAAGTAATATCTCCCCAAGGCACGCTTCCTTCATCACTTCGGTGAGGGGGAAATCACTTAGAGCAGAGGCTGTATAAAGATGAGCCAGTGAGCTGAGGAGGTGAGAGTGGCCTGCATCCAAAGAAGTGGACAGAGGGATTCCCACGGCCTCCACTCCTGCTCCTCCCTCTTCTGTCTCTGCATCCCTTGTCTAATCCCTGGCCATTGAAGACCTCAAGACGCCCTCCTCTCATAATGACACAGCTATCAAACCCAACTGCTGTGGCTCAGACCCAAGGCAGTGCATTAAACCCCCTCAGAGTATGATTGCTTCTTCAGAGTCAAGTAGCTGCGTCCTCGCTGTCATTCCCCCGGCCGCCGCTGTTGTTGCTCAGCCTCCTTGGAGCTGCTGAGACGTGGGCCCTTACACAGGCCCGCCTGACCCACTTGCTGAATCTCATTGACCTCGTATTTGCGACGAGACAAGGATCTGCTCGGAAAGACGGACTGATTGTACGAAAAGCTGGCGGTATCATTTTTGTGGATAAAAGCAGCTTTTGGAGATATTTAACAACGTAAAGACCACAAAAGTTTCACTTTGTAAATGCTGTAAGAACATGAAGACTGAATTTGAGTTATAACGTCCTTTTCTTATAAGTCCTTATATTATAGGGACTTTATACGGTATTTTTTATGCATTGTACTTTGTAGTGTATGAAAAAATGTGGTAGAAAGCCTCCTGTTTCAACATTACGTCTAAAGCATGTATCACCCAACGGCCAATCAAAGCCCTGTTTTGAATATTGGCTCCTCTTTGAGTTAAACAGATAAAAAAACACAGGGTTTGTGTTAGAGCCAGGGCGAGAAGGGGACTGATAAGCAACCAAATATGACCAGCTTCCACAGGTCTGTCAGATCCTGCTATTGCCCTTTAGATATGTGAGATGAGAAGCGCAGATGACTTGACAGCCCATTTATGTTTTGGTTCAATTCCAAGAATTGCGCAGTTTTTTTTCTTTCTTCACAGTTAAGACAGCTGAAGCAGGCAAGGAACAACAGCTAGTCAGTGGGCTAATTCGTTCAGCATTCAGCTCGTTTGATCGCCTGCACAGAGAGCAGCTGTGCACACAGTTCTTAAATGGGATTGTGGGTTGCCAGGTTGTGATGACAGATGGGTTGAAAATGTATGCAGAACCTGGATTATGTATGTAGATATGGTGTTATAGACGATCTGGCAACCTGGGTAACATTTTGGCTATTTCTGAGAGAAACAAAAACCATAAAGGATGCTTAGAAAGGGATTTCACCAAAGGAAAAAAAAGAAAAAGCTGGCAGGTCTGACTGACATAATCAAATTGTAAAGAGATGATTAGCAGTAATGAATTGAACCAGGACACTTCTAACCCAGACATTTTTTAATACTGTGGGGTAAAGTAAACTACAAACAACAGATTTTGTATACTCTAAAATGATAGTAAACAGGCCCAGTTTCATGTGAGGGAATTACTCAAGGACGGTTTGGGTTATCAGAGATTAATTATCAATAACAGCCATTTAACTCTCATGGAAACAATATATCACCACCCCGAGATTGTTTTAAACTCACCCGAAGCTGTAATTGACCAGAACTGAGTTTTCTTTTCTTGTAAATTGTTTTATTTCCTTGCTTTTAAATGTTGACACCGTTTGCTTCTTTTTGGTCTTAAACATATTGAAATATTCTGATTGCGCATAGATTTTCTTTTACCTCCTGCAGGCAAGACTTTTAGTGGTCAATTATAGACAAAGCTGCAAGATAACATGTTTGGGGAAAAGATACTGTTAGCTTGTATAACACTTAAGGCAAAAAGAACAAATAGAAAATAAAAAAATGGGAGTTTTAAGAAACGTCAGCATAAAAGTAGGATGAACACACACTGTCAGCAGACAACCAACACCACACCCAAAAAATGTTGATTTATGAAACGCTCAACAGAGCTGAAACTTCATGACAAAATAAATATTGCCTCAGTTTGTCAGGGAAAGAAAGTCAAATGTTTATTTCCGAAAGCTTTAGGCCTGTAGAGATTCACACAACACATAAAATTGCAGTTAAACTCTGTTCAGAGCGTAAAACTTATTTTTTTTAAACCTGACAAAAAAGGTGTTTTTCTGTATTTCGAAACAACATGTTTTGATCTGATGCATAATTAATTTCTCCGTGTTGTCGACCCACACCACAGCGATCATTTTGTGGGGGTGCCTTCACCAAAATATTGCTGCAGGGATAAACTCAGAGTGCAAATGGCAAGGTGCTGCCCGTGTTGCCTGCACACCCGGGTGCACTGAAGAGGAAAAAATAATGGGAATGAAAGACCAAATATCTGTAAGTATTTGTTTGTCAGTGCGTGTGTGTTCCTGTGAGGGTGTGCGCGGGCGCTGTGTGTGTGCGAGCCCCTGCGCTGGTGTGTAAGATGGAGTGCAGTGTCGGAGTTTGGGCAGAAGGTGAATAACTACAGTGCTTACAGTGTAATCATGGTTCCTGTCAGCCCTGCTGCAGGAGAGGAGGGGGCGACCAGCAGACTGAGCTCCTCGGTGATGAAGTACAGGCGCAGAGGAGCGCTCTACACCTGGATATTTATTAACACAGGCCTGACAGTAATGAGGGCTGAACAGGTGGGCTGGGACACACATATCAGAGTGAGGAGCATCCGCCAGGAGGCAGCGGGAGAGATGGTGAGGACGATTGGGAGAAGTTTACCCTGCAGGAACCCGGCGCTGTGGAGAGGCGCAGCTGCACGCCCACTTGTACGTACGTGCACCTGATCTGACCGGCATCAGCAACAGCAGCTAAATGTTTACTTGTGTGATCGCACTCCAACACGTGCAGCAACATGCAAAACAGAGCGGTTTTCTCTTGATATCAATGAAACACGAATGCCTGCGAACCTAAACTGGGGCATTAAAATGAGATGGTTTAAGAAGTTACCTCTGTGGCTATTTTTGTGCACATTATGGAAGTCAAGCCAGTCCCCTCTTTATACCACATATAGGCAATGAATAACTGGGAAAGTCCTGTTCACCCTTTGGGTCATTGGTAAAAGTTATTTTTTTTTTCAATTTCCAGAAAACTAGTGTTCATCGTGAAAAAATGGTTGATTTGGAATTGTTGCAAACTGATAATACAGAGAAACAATGAGAGCACCATCAGTGAGATGGAACCTATTAAAAAAAATTCAAAGAAAAATCATAAATGAGCATGTCTCTGAACATACAGGATAGACTTTTAATGGTAGGTATGCTATAATTGTTTAAACCAGACAGATCTCACCAATAGTGAGAGGCATTTCCCAACACCTCATTAAGGTTAAGGACAGACACACAGTCAGGTTAAGCGAAAGGGAGTAAAGTAAGCACATAAAGAGCATGTAATGATCACTGCAGGGTGATCCTTTGTGTTTGTGAGCCCCGTGTTCACCTTGCGCTACCTCTCTGTACTTCGGTTGTCTTATTAAGACCCTGAGTGAGGCTAATCAGGGTTGTCATCTGATGCTGAACAGATGCGCCGAACAAAGAAGAGGAGGAGACCACTGCAGGCCCAAGGTGCATCTGTGGGGGAGGAGAGAGCTCTGCTGCCTGAGCTGATGCTGGCTGATGGCACTCCCTGTCAAGTACGCCTCTCAGAGACTAATGGGTGGAGAAAAGGTAGAGGGTGACTACGTCCAACATTTCATGTCAAATCCACCTTAATAATTCGTCGTTGCCAGCTGTGACTGACACAAACTGTAGGTAAGAAGGCTTCGCGTGCACACCCAAAATGGCACATGGGGAAATTCACTTAACTAACATCGCCGACTGTGGATGTAGTCGGCTGCATTGTGGGTAATTTGAATTTCTGGTGTGCGAGTAGGGACTGAGAGTTGAGCCTTACAGAGAGGACATTTGAAAATGA